CCTGCTGTTGTTTGAGGATGATAGAAACAGGGAGCAGGGACAAAACCAAGACAGTTCATGAGCTCTGAGAGACCAGAAGATTTTTGACTAAGTTAGCTGGCAGCATCTGAAATCTGGTATTTGTCTTAATACATTTGAAACTAACCATCATTCAGCCATGGCAGATGAATTAGTCAGTGTGCAGCAGGTTTGTGACTGAGCCCTCTCCACAGCTTCTCTGGATGGAAGATTTCTGACCCCAGCTGGTGTCTGGCTGGCTGGCTGCAGGTGTGCCCGGGAGAGCTCTGCTCCTGGGAGAGGAATCTCATCAGACATAGGGGATGTCAACTCTATTGAGAGCTGCAGTCACCAAAAATGAGAGGGGTGTCATCTGGCTGAAGACAACCTTGAAGCATCATGTTTCCCTAGAAGCTGAAGCTGATCTGAGCACTTCTCAGCCATGCTCTGCTTTATACGTCCATCTATGAGCTTCCTCTGGGTATGAGGCTGTTGCCTGGTGAACACACACACTCAGCATTGTTGGAAGGCAGAACCAGTAGTTGAACCTGACCAACACAAGCTCTTCATGCAGACAGAAGCATTGGTTTTGCAGAGATCCTTTCTTGCAGTCCAGGCTATGGCCTGCATGGCAGAAGTGAGCACCACTTTGTTCACTGTCCCAAAACCAGTTTCAGCCAGCTGATGTACATGGATCCACAAGTGCTTTCATGGAAAGAGATCTTCCCCCATAGAAAGGGAAATAAGAAGGAAAAGGCCATCTTTTATCAGCTGCAGATGGGAAAAAAGCCCCTTCAGCTGAGCAGCAAGGAGCAAGGGCAGAGTGCTGGGCAATTCCTGCTCAGAGAGGACATGTGGGACAAAGACACCAGAGCAGATGATGTTGGTTTAGGCAGCTTAGACCATTTGTCTTGTCCCCTCAAGTTGGCTGATGGTTCACTTGCCCACTTCATGAACCCAGCAGCCTAAGGAAGGGAAAGGGGCAAGAAGGACATCATTGAACCACCTAGTGACTAAATGTGTGTGTTTGCCAGGAGGAAGGACATAGACTTTCCTGGAGTAACTTGCCTTCTCTGAACAAGCTAGAGTTGCCATGGTTGAATCCTGAGGAATGAGTGTTGACTCTGCATGAGCCCATGTGTGTATTTATGGGACTGTGAAGTTGTGAAACTGGCCTGGAAGGAGAGAAGGTGATGATCTTTAGTGCTAATCTTGTGGGAAAACCTGTTGCCTGGATGCTTCATAGCCATAAAGGTGGAAAGCATTTTTTTTCAAGGTGGGAATGGCAGGCACTGTTGAGCCTTAGGGAGCAAAAGACTGAAGTGGAAAAGTAACTCACATGAGCAAGGACAGTGGGAAGCCCCATTTGAATAAAACATGAGAAGGTTTAGTCCAGAAGCCAAAGGGGCCAGAAAAAAATTATTATGGCTCCCCAAGTGCTGGTGAATGTGCAAGATAAACAGTACAGGAAAAAAGTCACATCCCATGTGTAGGAAAAGGAAGAAGACAAACAGAAGTTGGTAACATTGAAGGAAAAGGAGACAGGAAAGGATCATTCCTAAGGAGAACATTGGAATGGAAATAAAAAGTTTTCTTCAGCTGCATCATCTTAACCCAAGGACCCAGCAGAGAAACTGAGGCAGATGGAGGCAGGAAGAGCCTGTCCCTGGTGGGGGGTGCAGGGTCAGGCAGAGCCAGGCAGGCTCCCATCCTGCCTGCTCCTGGGCATCCTTGCATGCACCATCAGAACAGTTACTGGTGTAGGATCCAGACCATTGTTTCCCTTCTCCCACTTACACAAGGATCCAGAAGGTGGCAGAATTACTCAGCAGGTGCTTTTCTTCATGGAAGAGGAAAATGTTCAGGAAGATCTCTATGCTGTGGTGTTTTCCTCCTCTTCACAGAGGGATCACCAGACTACAGCACAGATTCCTCCCTCAGCAGGACATGCCTCCTGAGAGGCTCCCAAGGCTTTGCTGTGCCTGCGTGTGGGTTGAGAAAGGAAAAAACAGTACAAGAAGCAGTGGGCAATTCTTTCTTAATGCCCCCCAATGTGGGGGTGTGAAAGGAGTTACCCTTTTGCAGCACAGTCCGTCACTGAACAAACTAAAGCTGTTCCTGTGCCTCCATTGGAGCATCTGTTGCAACCTTTCCTTTATAAGGAAGGAAGGAAAGAAGAGTTTCAGAAGGGAGAGTTTGAATGGCTTGGGAGCCCTGAGAAACTAACCTGTAGTGTGCTGAAACTGGGGGAAAACATCTCTCCTCAGGAACAGGAATGGGATGAGAGCCTGGACACAATATCCTCTGCTGCAGAGCACAGGAACCAACCAGCCCAAACTGCAACTGGCTGGAGCTGGGGACTGGCAGCCAAACCTCCCCAGGCCAGAGCTGGGCATGAAGCTTCACACAAAGCAAGAGAGGACAGTGTGGCTACAGTTGCTCTGAGGATGTCAAAACACATCGTAAGCCAGAAGGTGCTTTGGAAACCAGGTGTTTCTGAGCAGGTCTGAACAAGCCAAACCTCTTCTAGGGCTGGACAACTTCATTTCTGAACTATGCACTGAACTGTTAAGGCTACTGAGTTGTTACTGAAACTGGATCCAGATGTGACAGTGCAGAGCACCAGTGAAAAGTGGTTTCTGAACTAACCAATGAGGATGGACAGGAGCAGAGTCACCTCAGCTGTCACAACACCAGTCACTGCAGCTCTGTTCTCAAGGCCTTAGAGTATCCTCCTCCAGGCAAACATCCTGCATGCTAATGAGCTTTAGCCAGCTGCCTAAATAGCCACTGAAATAACTTACCTGAAAAAGCTCTCACCAAAATTTGGCTTTTAAAGACATCCCTTTTATCGTTGCAGATCATTTGAAGAAGACTATGACACAGATGAAGTCTTACCTCCCTCTGAAACTGGAGACAAGTCAGATAAACTAGTTATCTCAGATCTCTCAGCATAGAGAAATGGAAGACACTGCTCAGTATCTTTCAAACTGGATAGCTTTCAGTTCCAAGAGACTGAGGGATTTTTCTTAAACCCATCCTTGGAGCAATGTGCTTTGTTTTGTACACTGTTACCTGAGAACCCTTTTTCTCTTCCTGTGTAATTGCAATAAGGTCATTTCTATAAAAAAGGCTTTTTACAATGTGTTATTGTGCACGCTCATTAAAAATGGTGATTGCACCTTGTTTTGTTTCTAGATCAATGATGTCCCCAGATGTGCAATAAATGCCCAGCATCACTGATGAGCTGTAACACCTGCATTGCAACAGCTACAGTGGTTGTTTCTCAGCCAGCTCAGGCCTGTGTCCCCCTGTCCTCTTGGAGTGACAAAAGAGCTGCCAGTTTCACTGAAATTAAAAGTATGTCTAGAAATCTTTTAAAACACACATCATGATGAAGTTCTCTTTTCTTCCCTGGTGTCCTGCCTGCCTGCCAGGCAACCTGCCTGTGTGTGGGGAGGGTGAAGTCCCCTTTTGTGCTTTAAACCACAAGCTTTGTTGATACTGGACACGTTTTACCTGTATGCACCTGTGGGCAGCTAAAGCACTGCAACACTTCTCTAAGATGCAGTTAACATTTCCACATCTCCTGTGCAGAAGGTCTTCCTCAGGCTGGTGTTTTGTCTCTGTTGAGGTATTTTATAGCATATTCACAAAAGAAGACCTCATGCTGTCCAGCTGGTCCGTGGAACCTGCTGTGTCTTGTGTGCACCAGCCCTGTCCCCTCTCTGGCATTGCTGGCCTGCAGCCTTCTGGACTCTGGGCTGAGATCTTCAATTAAAAACCCAACCCTAACCTCACGTTACCAGAGGGAGCCTTTAACTGGTAAAGGAATTAGTCTGCAATGTTGCCAAAAATGTATTTTCCACCCATGACTTAAGCCCCAGTCTCAGAGGAGGAAACACCATAACCAATGAACTCTTGCTTAAGTGCAAAATGAAACTGACTTCCCCTGTAGAATCTCAACTGGTGTCTCCCAATAGCAGATGCTCTGCTGCTGGGACTGCTCCTCCTGGCTGCTCCTGGCAGCTGCTGTGATTCAGCTCAGAAGTGACTATAACATTCTTACCACTCCTCAGTTTAACCACCACAGGTAGTTACCCTCTCCAGCCTGGGACAGCTTTCAGCTGCAGTTGTTTTTTTCCAGTAATTGTGCCCAAAGAGGCAGTGCTGGGCTGGTGTGTGTCCATCATGTTTCCTCATACCTGACTTTAAGAATTTCACACCATGGTCACTCACTCCTGGGTCAGCCCTGCCAGAATCCCCAAAGGACAGGGTCAGATCCCCAGGCTGGAGGCAGGACCCATCCAGGTCACACCTCCTGCACACACACCCCACCTGCTGCAGCTGGTACCTGCAGGTGTGGCACAATGGAACAGCAATCCCTAGATGATCCCTGAGTGTCAGCACAGCAGTGACAGGCTCAGCACTGCAATGCAGCTGCAACTTTTCCAGGAGCCCCTGAAGCCAAACCCCTGCCAGGTGCCCAGGTGGGAGGTGCTGCTGCCCTGTGGAGGTTAGTGACTCTCTCCTCTGGCCCCAAATCTGAAAGTGAGGAAATGTTCAGTTATACTGGGCTTGGAGATCTGTTCTCTTCTTGAACTAAGCTGCTGTGTAATCCAGATGCATATACGCACCCCCAGGATCCTGAGTTTGGTATTTGGGAAAGGTCTGGATGCCCAGGTCCTTAGCAAAGGGCACTGCAGGGTAACTTCCCATCCATTATGAGATGGAAGCAGGGAGCCCTCCAGCCAACCTGGGAGAAGCCTCTGGATGCAGCAAGCACACAAGAGCAGCTCTGCTCAGCACCAGGCTGGTAGAATCACATCCCTGGCATCCCTATAACCCTGAGGGGAAAAGCTTTGCTGGGGGTGATTCCACAAAGGCCCAAATGCAGAATAAACTGGGAAATTACTGCAGAAATGAGCATGGGATGTGAGCCACACGGCTACCAACTGTGACCAGCTCTGTCCAGTTGTCACCAGAGAGAGCGCAGCCAAAGGAGTTCACAGCTTCTCTTCCCTGTCTAGCTCGAGTGGCCTTATAGTTTGATAAAATGTTTAATCTCTCCAAAGACAAACATTCCCCAAAGGAACAAGAAGAACCTGACAACATTCTAGGCTGTACTGGAATCCTCATGTGATCATCAGTGACTTTCACCCCAGGAGCAGCAGCACTGGAGTCTTTAGTTTGTCACTGATGTAAAGCCTCATTCCAGAAAACTTGGTGCTTGTGTCTTCAAGGGTTTAACCTGGGGTAGTCCCTGTGCCTCAAGGAAAAGCAGCTTTTTCAGTGCTGTACGGAGGATAGAATAATAATTCCAGTTGGAAGGGATGTCTGTAGGTCTCTAGGCCACCTCCTCTCTCAAAAACAGGCCAGCTTCAAAGTTACAGCCACTTTCTCAGGACCCCATCCAGCAGCTCTGCTGAAAAAATAAATCGATAGCCTGTGATTCTGCAGCCCCTCTGGTGTTCCTGCAGCTCCTCATCCTTCCCAGGGGAGGTCAGAGCAGCGTCCTTTTCCAGGAAGGACATGTATTCCCAGGAAGGATGTGTATTCTCAGGAATGCAGAGTCTGGATGGAGCAGGTGACCAGGAAAGAGCTAGAGGCTGAGCCAGAGCCTGCTGCCCAGCCAGGTGGGGCTGCAGACACAGCCAGGGGGGCTGGGAAGGGCTGGCACCCTGGTTTGGCCCTTCTGGGCTGGCTGGGTCCTGCTGGCTCCTATCACCCACCTTCAGGATGGGTCACCCTTCTGCTCATCTCTCTTTTGCAGTGTGGGTTTGTAACTCTCAAGTCAGTCCAGCCCTGCCTGTCTGCCTGAACTGGTGATGCCTTTTTTGAAGCAGGCAGTGTCCTGAGCCTGGTAAAAAAAAATACCACCTTTTCAAAGTTTGGCTTCAACAAATTGAGACAGAAGCTCATAGCTCCTCAGCTGAGCCTTTTGCCCCCCAAACCCATCCATGCTTCACAGCAGGTCAGCACAACAAGCTGATCACAGGGGCAAAAACAAAACCAACTGACAGCAAATGCTTTGGCTTGTACATGAACACAAGGACCAGCTGCAGAAGGCACTGCCAGCACCATGTTAC